TTTGGAAAAAAAAAAAAAAAAAAAAAAAAAACAAATCATGCTCAACTTAAAAATAAACCTGTTTGTCCTGAATTCCCTGGCTATTTGGTAGGGTTTTTTGTGCCGGTCATTTAAAGCTCTTTTGCCATCTCTCTTAAGTCAACTTTGCCTTAGAGACTAGCTGCCAAGGGGTACTCTCACAGGGAAAAGCTCAAAGAGCTCAGAAGTCACCCTGCTGTAGGTGTTCCCAAAGCATCGGGAACGCCCCTAGGTCAGAGTGTCACTAAGATTTATAATTGTATTTACAGTGCTGATTCATTTTTTGAATGGAATATTTGAAAATCTCTCTGAGACTCAGCTTGTTTTGTTTTGGAGGTAATTTTACTTGCTACATCATTATTACCTGGTTTCTGTGATAAATATTTTTAAAGCATATTGAAAGCTGTAAAAACTGCTGTGTAAATGGAAAGGAATACAGCTAAAGAAAAAGTTCAGGGTCAGCTAGGTGGCTCAGTGGGGAAAGGCACTTGTCACTACACCTTAGTGCTGTCCCTGACACCCACATAGTAGGAGTGAACTGGCAGTTGACTCCAGGTCCTTTTAACAAACAACCAGTAGTAGGTAAGTTGCTGCAGATGCTATGAACTCCCTAGCATGGGCTTTTGACCAAGTTTACAGTACCAACAGAAACTCCTTTCTGTGGAGCAGATCTCAAATCCAGTCTTGACATTGTTCACCAGCTTGCCTGGCAAGTTGGTATTGTACCATGCAGGGTCCATTTCTGGGTAGTACCACTGATGAGGCTTCTCTCCTAGTGACCTGCAAACTACCTCCCTGCACTGTGAAACCTAGCCAGCTGGGAGGAAGGTTGCAGGTCAGTTCCGGCTTGATTTCTCCATGTCGTACAATCAAGGTATAGTGTGTCTTCAGCAATAATGTCTTACCATCTAGTTAATGATAGACAACCAAGATTAATAACAATAGCCTAGAGCCTCCCTGAGTGGTAGCACAATATGAGCTCGGCTTTTTAAGATGCTTGAGCCATTTACATACTTTCCCTCAACCTTAATCAAAAGAAAAAAATAAATTCTAAAGTGCTGGCCTCAAATTCAGAGAACTGCTTCTGCCTCCTGAGTGCTGGAATTAAAGCCACACCTGGCTTTAAAGACTAAGGTTATCTGAGATTTAAATTTGACACATTAAGTTTATTAAATAGTGAAACAGATATTTTATGTATATAATATTACTCTGAAGAACTGTGATTTGGTGGGTTTTTTGATGTGTAATATAAATTTGTTTAGTGTGTCTTTATTATGACTCTTATTCCTTAATTCAAACTCTAAAAGTATGACTTTGCATTTCAAAATGGGTATTTTATAGTATCATTTAAAAAATAATTTCAGAAAATTATAGTATTGTTTTTTATTATAGTTATTTATTATAATATTGTGACTCAGACCACTTTATAAAATCATTGGTATACTTAATTTGTTTGTTCTTGAGCATTAAAAAGATTCTACTACCAAAATTCTTGCTAATGAGAATGACATCCTATGTAAGAGAATGATACATGTGTCCCTGTTTTAAGATTTAAATTTAAAATGTAAATGAGCTTTTGTTTGTATTTCTGCAGTAAGGACTGGTTTTATTTAAGACTCATCAGAAAGTCTGTATTGAAATCAAGGTTCTTAGAGCATATTAAGGTAATTCTGCTTATTTTAAGTAGAAACTCATTGGAATGGTGATTGTCTCTCCTGAAATTGTGGAGAAAATGAGAGACTCAGATTTACCAAATGAAAGAAAGGCTAAATCAGAGAACACACAAGGTCACACTACAGAAGTAATTCTTTTGAACTTTGGTCATGTGGCCAATGTAGGCCACCTCTACAGCCCTGAATGCTGATTCTCCTCAGGATTCCATTCGGACCTGGAGATTCAGAGTTCCAAACAGATCAATAAAGCTCAGCACACAGCTTTAGTACCAAGGAAGAGGAAATGACAATGCCTAGAGTCCCTCGATTTCTATAGCAGAAAGTAGGTACTTGATCTCAACAAATCACATGTTCCTGTAACTCGGAGGAGTTTGAATCCTTAGAAGAAAAAAAAGGCACCTGAGTACTGCCATTTACATTTGGCTGTCCAACATCTGTATATGCCTCCTTTGTAGCCTTTAAAAACACAGTTCTGACATAACCTAATGATGTGTCTACAATATCAGAATTATGCAAACTGTGGGCTCAAGTATATAGTTAACCCATATAAAATGCTGGAGAAAGCAGGAAAGTTAGTTAATATACATACACATTTGCACATACACAAACATGGGTAGTCACTTCAGATTATATGTCTCAATGCCAGTGCAGGCCTTTAAGACCTTGCCTCTATTTGATGCTCAGGGCCCTTTGTCTAGTATTGAGACTTAGACCTTCACTCTTAGAAGTTGGAGCCCATAATGGTCCTGTTTGCACAGGGTTACATAATGTTCCTTAAACTTGTTTGTTTTATTATTGGATATTCTCCCATGTACAAACATAGAAAGCAGTATTTACTCATCAGCCGACCTTCACAACTGTCAGTCTTAAGCACTTTGCTTCCTACCCACCACATACTCAGGACTTGGTTGGGGTGGGGGTGGTGGTGTTTGAGACAGGGTTTCTCTGTGTAGCCCTAGCTGTCTGGAACCAGGATCATTCTTAAGTAAATTCCAGATAACATTATTGCTTCCATAATTACTTGTTTGTGTCACTAAAATGAAGACTTTTTTTATAAATATAATCCTAGTACTACTATTTCACATCCTGATCTAGAAGACCTAATTCCAGGACAGGCTCCAAAGCTACACAGAGAAACCCTGTTCTCAGGAAAAACAACAATAACAACAACAAAAAGCCAAAGTACTATCTCACATATACATTAATCACTGGAATCAAACATCTAGTGTTCAGATTTCCTTCATTTTCTCAAAAGTGTCACAATTCCAGTTTGTAAAGTAAGATGGCATACATACTGTGTTGATGACTGGTCCAGAGAATACACTGTGTCTTTTAAGCAGGATAGCCCTTCACAAGATGATGTATGTAATTGCATGATGGGTTACATGAAACTAACAGAACTCATTGACACCCACCAATTGCATTCTTTTGTCCCAGAGTAAGTTTCTTGGTAAACAGTATTGTGTGGATTCCCACATTGATGTGTGAAGCATCCCACAGTTCTAATAATGATAGTTGAGAAAAGAATAGCCAAAAGATGTATTTCTTCCAGTAAGGAAAATCACTGCCACCTGCAAGGTGAGAGGAGTCAGCTATAATTGATCAACAACCCATCTGCAACTGAATACAATACAGGAGTGAGTAATACATGATATCCCACATCATGAGCCTTAGAAGAAGGCAGACCTCCAACATCTCACTATGGGAACTTAATCTGGAGGTGCCTAGACATTCTCTCTCCCCTTCTGAACAGCTAGGACAGGGATGTGTGATGTAAGTGTAATGTGCCTATGCCTGCTACTTTTTCATAGTAATACATTTGAAACTCACCCAAGTGAGCAGTCTCTAAATTTCGATTGCTGTTTTGTAGAAGCCATCCAGATGTCCACAAATACAGCGTGGAGACTGTTCAGTGGTACCCTCATGACACAGGCATGTTCACATCCAGCTCATTCGATAAAACTCTGAAAGTGTGGGATACAAATACATTGCAGGTAAGTACATTACAACCTTTCCAAATTGCTATGTTGGATAATGGAAAATTGAACCCTCAACCATATTGTTGTAGTTTCTTGTTAAGATGTTCTTTGTGTCAAATATGAAAGTAGTACAGTTAAGGAAAACTAGGTGGTTGGACTTATATCCTGGTTAACTGACTTCTGATGGTTAACACTGTGATAGTGGGCAAATGCCAAAGCACCCTGCATCTCCATTCCCTCATCTGTAAATGAGGGCCACGATAGCACCTTCTAGAATGGTTTTGAGAGTTAAATGAGCCAACATACATAAAATACCTAGCACAACTCCTAACATACAATTAGCATTCAAAACCTTAGCAAATATCCTAATTATTTGAAAACTTCGAGCTAAGGAATTGAATTAGACTTTTCCTCTCTTGATCTAAAAACTTGGAGGAAAAGAAAGTTTTTATAATATAGCTTAGTAAAAATAGTAGATGTGAGAATTACATAATTACTGAAATTTAATTTATAGTGCTCTTCCTCCTCAGTTTTATATCTAACTTCCTGTAAAACCTCTTTATAGAAATGTGACATCTCCTTAGAGTTGGCATTTCCTGGTCTAAATAGTAAGTTCTGTGCTAGCCAGAGATATATAGAAAGATCCTGTCTCAAAAAAAACTACAATGAAATGCAACATGTGTGGCAAAGATTAAACACATGTCATGAACTTTTCATTTTGACCACAATGAGTAATTGGAGAATTCTTTTCTGACCTCAGTTCTTGAATAATCACTTAGAGACTTAAATATTAATTATAAATGTTTGGCTGATGACTAAGGCTTACTACTAACTAGCCCTTGCATTTAAATCAACCGATTCCTATTAATCTGTGTATCAACACATGACCAGTGGCTTACTGATGGTGTTCTGGCACTTTGCTCCTTGGGCAGCTGCTAGCATCTCCTAGACTCCACCTCTTCTTTTCCTGTATCTCTGCTTGAATTTTTGCCTGGCTCTATCCTGCCTTGCCATAGGCCAAAGCAGCTTTATTTATCAACCAATGAGAGCAACACATATTCACAACATACTGAAAGATATCCCATTGACAAAACCAGCAAAGTTTTGTTTAAAGGTGAAAATCTGCTAAGGAATCTAGACCTTGAAAGGCTGGTTCTCAGAGAAAAGAAAGGTTTGTAAAAATAAATTCAATTTTACAAATACTTCACTCTTACGTTTTTATGTACAACAGGAGACTGAGAAGGCAGGCATTGGAGAGCTTTTAAGAGACAGGGCCGCAGCTGGTCATGTGGTATAAGCCTATAATTCTAGCATATGGGGGGCTAAGGCAGGAAAGGCATGAGTTTGAAGCCAGTGTGGACTTATGATAGCAAGATCTAGTCTCAGAGCAGCAACAACAAAAACACACAAGACTGGGTCCCAGGTTCTGGAGTGGGATTTGGGTTATTTATTATGTTTGAGGGGTTTACAGGAAATCCATCTGGAGATAATCAGGAACTGATCTCTTTCTTTGTATCTGATGTGGGAGTGAGATCTACACTGAAAATGGAGATTGTGAATCAATAACACTTGGTTGAAGAGAAAAGGCTTGCATAAAACAAATTCCGAGGGTGACCAGGGTTAATAGGACAGAAGAAGTGGCAACAAATGCTGCAAAAATAGTGAAAAGGAATAGCCAGATCCATACATCTCAACACAGGAAGCCAGTAAATGTCTGTGGTAAGGAAGCTGACACACCAAATAGAATAACTAGGCTATCAGTGATAGTGAAAAAGTAGTGTGAACAAGAAAAGTGAAACAAAACTAATACTGCAGTGAGTTAAGAAATATTATATTAAATATGGCCTGGAGAGATGACTCAGTGGTTAGGAGCACTGTCTGCTCTTCGAGGGACCTGGGTTCAATTCCCACCACCCCACTGTCTGTAACTTCAGTTCCAGGGGATTTGACACTCTTACACAGACATGAATGCAATCAAGACATCAATGCACATAAAATAAAATTAAATAAATTATTTTTAAAAAAGAAATGGTAAGTGATTAAAGATTGCTAATGTTGATTGTTATCAAGAAGAGGAAAGAAAATTGAGGGGTGGTAAAGTGAAAACTTTGTTTATTTTGTTCTGGGGACTATTAAGATGAAGGTGGCTTTACTTTTAGTGTTGCTGGGAATGACACAGTAGAGATAATCACAGCTAACTTGTAGATTGAGATTGCCAGTGCTGAGGGGGTTGGAGAGATTAGCTTGTGAAATAGGAGGAGGACTGTTTTTTCACAATGGAAATGAAGAAGGGAAAGCTTAAGCATAAGTGGCTGGCTGCATGAGAGACTGGGCGATTTCTGATTCAGTGACTTTTATTTTCTCTGAACTAAAAGATCTGATCACCTGTTGTGATTGAGTAGGGATGTTTGTGGACAGTGGAGAAAGTTGGGAATGCTGCAGGCAGGATATTGCAGACAACTAGTTTAGTGAAACGGTGCATTGTAGGCTGACAGTCCTTACTGAAGCCTGGTTGCAGTGAATTCAACTAGGAAAAAGTGGGCAGAAAAGAATGCTAGGGACTCTGGGACTTGCTCAAAAGTTCTAGAGTAGCTGGTGAAGAAAGTCAAAAGGATAGATGCTGTGATTACAGATTTTATCCTTTCAAAGGAGTGTGACTAGCATCCTGGAAACTGAGAGACAGATTACTAGCTAGCTAGATTGTCAGTGGAGATACTAGCCTGATGGAGAGAGGTGGTGAGTCCATGGAGATGCTAGCCTGTTAGAGAGGGATGGTGAGCCAGAGGCTGTCTTTCCTTGATTTCCGGGATTTGTTATGTCTTAGTTGATAAATTGGTAACAGTCAATTAAAAATGTTTTATGTGGGAAAGAAAATTTGTTGCTTTGGTTTTACACATTTTTAACATCTCTTGGTTAACAGGCTGCTGATGTGTTTAATTTTGAAGAAACAGTTTATAGTCATCACATGTCTCCAGCAGCCACCAAGCACTGTCTGATAGCAGGTGCGTACACCATCCTTTTGCCTTTTAGCATATGGAAAACTCCCATTTTAGGGTTAGTTATGTTTGACAGAAAAACTTTAACCCAGGGGAAGATTATTTTAAACACTATGAGTTACATCCAGCACATGCGATTATCTAGGATTCACACTGAGAGTATTGATCCTCTCTCTCCCTTTCTTTTTTCCTTTGCTTTGTTTCCTTCAGAGAGTTTGTATCTGTCCCTTAAGGAGTTCTTTTAAATCACTGAACTTTAAGGTATTTTATGTGAACAAAATAGGGCACTTGGAATGATGAGGTAGCTCAGTGGACAGGGCTATCCACTGCCACGCCTAATACCTAGAATTTGATCCCTGGAACACACATGATAGGACAGAGCTGACCACAGCAGGTTGTGCTCTAACCTTGACACACCCTGACCTATCACACACATACAAAGTAAATGTAATTTTTTTAATTTATAACTTTTCCAGTTCAACACGATAAAAGGGCAACTTCCCCTTTAACGTTGTGATTGAAAGCAAATAGGCATTTATATGAATCTTGTAACAACAAAAAGTTAATGTATAAAGAAGGAAAGAAATGTTACCCTACTACCAGGTATCCGTTCTCCAGGACTCTGTTATTCCCAGGTAGTGCATAAGTCTCCTTACAGCTGGACATCAATCAGCTGCTTCATCTATAAGAGCTACACACTTACTGATCTTCCAGATCTGCTTGTCTCAGTCAGAGTTGCTGTGAGCCTTTTCCAACAACCAAAGGGATAGCAATAGCATTAGCATGCAAAACTGAGCAGTTGAAATTGAATGGCTTCATGTGATAAAGCACTATACACACACTTAAGGTACTTATAGAGATTTCCTCATAGTATTTTGCTGTGAAGTAGCCCTACAGCCTGTGTGGATCTGTAGCTGTTGTGATGAGAATAGGCTGTGGAACATGCAATTCTGCATGATTAAAGCGCAAACAAGAACATTTCTGTAGTCATAAACATTCAAGGTGATTTAGATATTTGTAAATCTATTGTGACATACATTTTATATTTCTGTGTAGATACAGTAAAAATATAATTCTTAATGCCAATTTGCTGGGATCTTTTCTTGTCATTTATAATAAATACTGTATAAAAGCTTTTCATATTTTTCTTTAACAGTTGGTACTAGAGGACCCAAGGTACAACTTTGTGATTTGAAGTCTGGATCCTGTTCTCACATTCTCCAGGGTATTTATTTTTAATTTTGGAACAACTACTACTTTGAGTAAACTATTCAGTTTAAAAAAAAAAAAAACATTGCTAACAATGTGTTCTTTGTAAATGACATGACTGATGCATTTTGTGCTAGTTGTTAAGTCAACAGAAAGATAAAAAGTCCTTCTGTGCATTATTCTTGCCAAACTGGACTATTGAGACATTTATACGAACAGTGACTGGTGAAGTAAGGGAAACTCAGAGGAGATGGGAAATAGAAAACCCAGCTCAGAATCTTCAGCTGTTCTACATTTAAAACAATAAATGAGTAATGAAACTTATATCATTAGATGTGTCTTGTGTCTACTGTTTGATAATGTGACTAATGAGGAAGCTTCGTTCATAATGTTTAATACTCTCTTCTCAGTACAAATATTTTAGAAAAAGTCTTGAAGCAATACTTTGAGGAAAACTATATTAATATACTTTTATTAATTTTTAGTCATATTAGATCACCTAATTCTAAACAATGAAATGTTGGAATGTAATTCAGAAATACACATTTTTTTATCAATCACTGAGAAGCATAATAATACCATAAAAACTTGATGGAATGGGTAGCCTTTTTAATGCTTTTTTTAATATTTTATGTGTATGAGTGTTTTCCCTGCATGTATGTATGTATACCACATGTGTGCCTGGTGCTCTCGGAGGTCAGGAGAGCTGGAACTAAGTTACAGTTTTGAGCTGCCTTGTGGTTGCTTAGGTCAAACCCCAGCCATCTGCAAAAGCAGCAAGGCTCTTAACCACTGAGTCAATTCTCCAGCCCAATGGGTAGCAATGGCATTATTATTAACAATCACTGTGATTAAAAAGCTAGGCAGATGAAAATGTCTCATTTGAATAGTTCCATTAGGTAAAACTATTCTATGAATTTATCATCTCTGTTTTCTAGAAACAAAACTGTTAAAATGCTCTTTTCATTCAAGTGTTTTTTTTTCTTTTATAACTTTATAAGAAATTATGAAATATTTTATTCTTTAAAATGGTTAAGTTTAATTGCCATGCACTTCTACTATAGAGATAGATTCCTGAGTTATGTGGACTGATTGATACAAATTAGTAATTGTATTTTTCCCAAAGCAGAAGCCAATTCTTTTATATTAAAAGGTCCTGGGTTAAGAACTTCCCACCAATTTCTCATTAGTATTTAAACACAGACATTGCAAGTGTAAGACGTGATCTTGTCCCTTCACTGCTGTTTGTGCTTGCTGTATTCTGAGTCAGGCAAAATTATTGGTACCTTATAAGACTTTTTATACTCTTGTATTTGCAGGTCACAGACAAGAAATACTGGCAGTTTCGTGGTCACCACGCCATGACTATATCTTGGCAACAGCCAGGTAAAGTGCAGTATATTTGTTTTTACTATTAATATTAATAATTAGAGGCATTTCAAAAGATTACATTTTCATAAGATACATATTTTGTTGTATGTAGTTGTTAGTACCTGAAAATGAAATATTGAGTAGCAAATCTCAGTTTATATCAGCAAAGAAAATTTCCTTTGCATCTTTTGTGTGCATTATGTGTGTAGGTGCACATGTATATGTGTGTAAACCAGGAGTTAACACTGGGTATCTCATTCACCTTCCTCTCTTATTTATCTTCCATAGCCCTCCACTGAGCCTTGGGGTCATCAGGTCAGGTGGGTTGGCTAGCTTGTTTCCATATCCCAGCTTTGGGATTACAGTAGCACACAACTGAACTTGGCTTTTCAGGGACCTGCACTCATTAGTTCCAGCTCTCCTGACCTCCGAGAGCACCAGGCACACATGTGGTATACATACATACATGCAGGGAAAACACCCTCGAAGGGGTGCTGCAGGCTTTATTTGTTGACCATCTTCCCAGTGCCCTCCTTTGTATGATCATCCATCTTGAAAGCTTTCACCTTTTAGAACAAAGAGAAAGTGGGAAAACCTCTGTAGTTGTATAAATCGTCTAGCACTGCTAGTAAAACGTGTGATTTTCCTACATGGAAGCATAACACTACTCACTTAAGAGTGGCATTTTTGAGTTTCTTTAGATCAGACTTTTCCCCTGATATAAAGTACCCATCTATGATTTAGTTTGTTATTATGTAATGGCTACCACCTGTTCCAAATATTGTACTATATACAGGTTAACCATGATGTCAGAAAGACCCATGCCTACAGAACATGCTGGAATGACTTAGGAACTAGTACTGAAAGATGTCCAGCAGAGTTGAGGGTGGAGACTGTTCATTGGAGGGAGAAATAATAGTGACAAGTAGGCCTTCAGTAACTCATACAGGAAGAGAGTAGGAGTGCATGCCCTCTGTGAGGTTGAACGGTATGAGGGTGGGGGTTGTTTATTGAAGGGTGAGATAGTAAAGATACTGGAATGACAGGCTGTGGGAGAGGGACTGGCTACAAGTACATAGGACTACTGGACAGCTGTGCTCAGTTCAAGAAATAGACTACAGCTATACCAAGGTACAGAAGTCTAAACATCACATGGCACGTACAGTGATTTTGGGGGGGTATTTAAAGGAAAGTACCTCAACATATGGAAGTTGTGGGACCTCTGCTAAAACAAAGAAAATCACACACACACACACACACACACACACACACACACACACACACACACACACACACTGTAAGAGGTAGGAGGGAGTCAGTGACCTGAGGAGGTAAAATATGTGATTTTTGAGCTGAGGTACAGTGACATCTAGACTGTAACTATCAAAAGACATCTAGGACTGGCAAGATGGCTTAATAGTGAAGACACTTGCTGCCAAGTCTGCCATCCTGAGTTCGTTCTCCAGTACTTGTATGGTGGGAGGAGAGAACCAGCTCATGCAAGTTGGCTTGTGCTCATGTGTGCATGCATGCATGCACACACACACAAACACATGTAAATAAGTAAGATAGAGTTTTAAAAAAATATACTGTTAAGGTGTTTATGAAGGCATGATAGATGAATGGATCTGATTGGGAGCACATGTTATTACTGGGTATTTCTTAAAGGGGAAATTAATACATAATCTGTCTTTGCCTTTGTTGGTTCACTTGAAAGAAAATGAAGTGTCTTACTTTCTAAAAGATAGTAAATATAGTTTTTTAGGAAACACTTATTTGAGCACAAAAGCAAATGAAAATAAATTGTTCTTATTATGTATCTTATTTTCAAACTTTTAATATAAAAAGCGAGATACCCAAAATTGATGCTAAATAAATGCTTAAACAATGAGATCCCATAACTGCTTAGCTGTCTAGGTAGCATTTGAGAAATAGCAGAAAATAGTCATAATTAGTGTGATAGGAGAAAAGCAGAATTTTGTCCTTGTGATCGTATCTGATAAGAAAATTACTTTTCTTTGATCTTTTTTTTCACCATTTTATGGGACTGTTGAGTTTTGAATGTTGAATATTTGTTGAAAATAAGAATATGGTGCAATTGTAGGAATAGCTTGGTGCTATAGAGAAAAACCTCTGTGTTCAAGCTGGCAAAGTAAAGAGTGAAGTCATTACCCTAGCTCCATATGTCAGTGTAAGTGTTGTTTTGTTTTCCTCAGTGCTGACAGTAGAGTGAATTTATGGGATGTGAGAAGAGCATCAGGATGTTTGCTCACTCTTGATCAGCATAATGGGAAGAAGTCACAGGCTGTGGAATCAGGTAACAAAGACCACATCCACAGAGAAATGCAGTATTGACTTTTTATGAAATCAAATAAGTACATATTGACAAACTAAGAATTAATTTTTTGTAAATGGCATTCACTATGAATCAGTTTCTAAATCAAGCCAGTTAGGTAAATTCCATTTTACACAGAAAGGTACAGTAGATTAAAGAAATAGTAATGTTTTGTGCTTTTGTGTCACCATAAAAAACTACAAGTTGTGGTAAGTGCAAGTCAAGTGTGCAATCCCTGTGACATGGTGGCTCTATATTTATGGTTCTTTCAATGTAGCTTATCTTATTACACAATCTAGAGGTTGGTTAATTTTAAGTATGATCAACTTATATTTTAATTAATTCATAGTTATTGTTTAATGTATTTAAAATAATGCTTAACACAGAAAAAGATAAACTGAGTATGTTTTCATTGCAGCAAATACTGCTCACAATGGGAAAGTTAATGGCCTATGTTTTACAAGTGATGGACTTCACCTGCTCACTGTTGGCACAGACAACCGAATGAGGCTCTGGAATAGCTCCAATGGGGAGAACACACTGGTGAGAGACTTTGAAGGGCCTTTTCAGTAAATAGATCTGTGGTGTACATCTTATTTACATTTATATACATGTACATTTATATAAATTGTATTACATTTTCCAAAGGGATGACTTCATTTCTTGTCTTTAGTCACAGTTGTTAATATATTTTGAAAAGATACTTTAGGTATGACCAGCTAATTCTCAAGTTAAGGCATGCTGCCCCACCTGGCACCCTTGGCACATTCCCCTTCTTACTGTTGTAGCAGGAGTGAACTCTGATGCTTCTAATTAAAAGATTGAGAACTGCTACATATGTTACCAACGTCAAATTTTACATTTAAAATTAGTTGTATCCTTTTCTTTACATATCCATTCTAGCTAATAATTCTCTTTAAAGTAGTTGAGGGGTCGCTTTGACTATTATTATTAGTACTAGTATTCTTTTATTTTTTTTAGAAACAAGCTTCTTTTACATGTCTATCCCAGTTCCCTCTCCCTTCCCTCCTCTTCTGCCCCCTCCACCCCCAAACTGAATGTCTTCATCTGTTGTATAAGCCATGCATTCTAGTTCTCCAGCTTTTCATTCTTCTCCTTTCCCCCATTCTGTTTCACTTTAGAATACCCTCCTGCTGCTACTTCTCAGTTTTCAAGGTTCATCTCAGGCTCAGCCTGTCTCTGATTCTTCTACTCTATCTCAGAAGCTCCCACAATACTCTGGGCTTATTTGTCTTGCAGTGTACTATGATAATTACTTAATGCAATGAAAAAAATACCATGTAACAAAATATTTCAATGGTTTGGTTAGCATAGTTTAGATGCAGTATTTGAGTCTGACATGTACTACCCAAGTTACATTGATCAAATTACTTAGCCTTTTCATATGTTCAGTTCTTTCTGTCCTTTCTTCTGTGATGTTTCCTCAGTCTTACAGGGGTTGATACAAGTGTCCCATTTGTGTGACTAAGCACACAACAGTCACTTACTCTTAGCAGTTTGGATCAATTATGAGTTTTTGTACTAGCTGCTGCCCACTGCAAAAAGAAGCTCCTCTGAGCAAGGTTGAAAGCATCATTGATCTGTTGGTGTAAACATAAATATCAGGAGGCTGTGTGATACCATATCCATTTAGCAACAGTAGTAGATCCCCTCTGTGAGGTACCATTTCCACAGCCATAGGATTTTGATTGGATTGGCAGTAACAGTGCTCTCAAATCTACTCAGAAAATGGTTGATTCCCCAAAGGTGTTTCCTGTCAGTATTACACCAGTGAACACATTGGCCCTGGCAGGTTGGTGTTGTTGCATTCAGGGTTCATCACTAGATAATACCATTAATAATTCTTCTCCCCATGAAGTCCACACATCATTGTCCAACACTATGAAAGCTCCGCTAGCATGGATGAAGTTTTTGGGTCAGTTCTAACTTGGTTTCTCTATGTACTGCATCCACAGTGAATGGCATCTTCAACAATAGGATCATACCTTGGTGGGCAACCAAGAGCAATGGCTGTGTCCTTTGCTACTTTAAGGACCTCTAGGATCTCGCTGACCAGTAACTTGTAGGAAAGTGTCCAATGTCTGGCACTGAGATTTTCACTTAACTATGTCTTTTGTGGGATGCATTATCTACCCATGCATGGTACCTATGTTCAAACTCCTTTAATAGTAGCTCTCTATAAGGCTATTTCAAACAGCCTTAGTTTTCATTAATCCAACTCCCTCCTCCTCCTATTCCTTCCCCATTCTCATGTTAACCTCCAGTGATCTTTCATATCATGTGTGTTCTGCTCTCCCCTCACCTCTAAGCTCCTGCCCCTCCCCAATTTATCCCCATTCTAACTTCCAGAGTCACCCCTCCCAAGTCAAATGGAACATACTGCCTCATCAGGTGGAAATGAAAGAATGTTCTTCCTAACATGTAGGAATCAATAAGTCTGAACGTAACTGGCTGGCTACCTTCATTTCCCAGGTGCTGTCCTGTGCATGATGTCATTTGTGTTTTTACAGTGGCGTTATAGTAAATGATGTTGTTTCCATTTAGCGGGTTAGAGGAATGGAACTTAGAAGTGAAATCTGAGTGATCCCTCTAACAAACAGATTTCAAAACTCGAAGTTCAGTGTTTCATGTACTTCACCCCTGCTACCATGGGGTGACTAGAGGCACAAGCTTATCTCCATTTTCAGTTGTTTTGCCATTGTGCTGAATTGAGTCCTCTGGGCATATTACTCTCTGCTGCCTAATTGTTTCCTTAAGATAAATTCCCAGGAGCAATTACTAGATCAAGAAGTAAGAATATCGTTATTGTTCAGTGAGTTAGTTTTGATAGAAGTGAAGATTGTTAATACCATTCACTGGCACACTTAAAATGGTTGTTATAGTCAGGTGTACTATATTGTGTTGGTTTTATTACAACACATTCATATGAAAAGTTCAGCTCACCCAAAAGAGGCATCTTGCTAATTTTTTGTACTAAACCATTTGTCCTGTTTGAAGGAATACCCAAATTATGACACCAATAACATGTTCTCCTTACTTTTTACCAATATGAAGGTTTCTTAAAATTTTAGCCAAGCCAGAACCTGGGGATGTAGTAAGGTTAGAGATCTCACCTAATATCCATGAGGCCCTGAGTTTTGTCTTTAGGTACCAAAAAGGGAATAGGATGGGATTTTTGAAAGTTTGATGGTCAGAAATAATTTTTCAAGTTTGGCTTAGTTGTATCATCTTTCCCTTGTGGGTTTATTCACAATTTCTAGTTCCTCAAATATAAAATGTACATTTGTACCTTTGGCCCTTATTTTTCTTAAGATATAGTTTCTTTAAATTTAAAGGCCCTTTTATATAACATTATAATAAGGGAAGGGAGGTTTTTTTTTTCAGTCTTTGTTGCTTTTTTAACTCAGGCTTAAAAAATGAGTAACATTATGATTTTAAATCTGCAGGTGAACTATGGGAAAGTTTGTAATGACAGTAGGAAAGGACTGAAATTCACGGTCTCCTGTGGCTGCAGCTCAGAATTTGTTTTTGTTCCATATGGTAGCACCATTGCTGTTTATGCAGTTCACTCAGGAGAACAACTAACTATGCTTAAGGGACATTATAAAAGTGTCGACTGCTGTGTGTTTCAGTCTAATTTCCAGGTAAGAATGATACTTCAGGGGATTTAAAACGATTAGATGGCTGGCTTGCCAGACTTAGTAGTGTATAAAACAGGAAGTTGTGGTTCTATTTTCATGTGTTAATATGCTTTTAATCATTCTGAAGTACGATACCAACAATCTACCTTTGAGATAGTATTTCTTTAATAGAGATTAATACAGCCTAATTTGCAGATGGCATAGGAAGTGTATATGAATCAATATAATACTGTGCAGTGATTAGGATATGTTGTCTTTCCTTTTGAATATGAGCTCCATTTAACCATTTGAAATGTAGTCAAATATTTTTTCATGAATAATTTTTAGGGTGTGTGTGTGTGTGTGTGTGTGTGTTTGTTTAGTTCCAAAATATTGTATACCTTCGTTTTTCTATATGTAACTATGTTGAAGTCTGAAATTAATTATTTCATTTCTTTATTTTTTTGGCAGAGGCTGATACAATTAAGCCTTTGCAGTGGCTAGATACTGAAATGACTAGTAAAATATACCTTTGATTTAATGCAACTCATATAATTTCTCACATTTACTTATTTGTGTATGGAGGTCAGAGGATAACTTATAAGAGTTGATTCTCCCCCTCCATCCTGTGGGTCCTGAAATCAAACTCAGGTCGTAGGACTTAGCAGCAAGCGCCTTTGCTCACTGAGCCACCTCAACAGCCCCACAAAATTTCTTAAATACTTATCTGTTAGTTTTCTTCTTAATGTGACCAAAATACATACCCAGAAGCAACTTCATGAGGGAATGGTTGATTTGAGCTTACAATTAGAACATGCACAGTTTTGATTTTAAGGAAGTCAGGCAGCAGGGACACAATGCAGCTGGCCTCTGCATCAGCTGGCAGGAAGCCCAGCAAGGTGAATGTTGACACTTGGCTTGCTTTCTCCTTTTCTCCAGTCTAGGACCCCAGCCTCCTGGATGATACCAACCACATCCTTGGTGTTTCAGTGTGATTCCAAAGCCAGTCAAGTTTGCAGTGATTGTCTTAGTACCCATGAATTTTGCTTAACGTCCTTACTTTTCTCTAGTCAAAGCAATTTTCATTTCTGTTGCATCAAAGTCAACAGTCCCTCTGATACACAACCAAAATTTTAAACAAGATATTCTGACTACAAAGTATGACATTCTTCTAGGCAGGAACTTATTAGCAGAGAGGCCTAGGAAGGTTAAGACTGTACCAAGAAGGGTCTGGAGAGATGACTCAGCAGTTAAAAATGTTTGCTACCCTTACAGAGGATCTGGGTTCAGTTCTAGCACTCACGAGGCAGCTGATAACTGTCTGTAACTCTGGTTTCAGGGAATCTGATACCCTCTTCTGGCCTCCTTAGGTACCAGGCACATATAGTACATATACATGCATATAGACAAAACATTATTTATATATGTATTACCAAGTAAGCTGGGTATGGTGACACAGACACCTGTACTCACAACATTCTGGATTATTGTCAAGATTTCAAAGTTGGGCTAGGCTATATAGCAAGCTTCAAACTAAAAGCAAAAAAAAATTCTGTTACAGAGATTGCTCTCATTTCCTGACCAGCCGGACACCTGGAATAGCTGTCTTCTGTGAAATACTCTGCCTGTGTTATGTTGTTTTGTTCCACTTTGTTTTTTTAAACAAGATCTCATATAAGTCAGGCTGGCCCCAAACTTGCTATAAAGCCAAGAATAATCTCAAACTCATGATCCTTCTGCCTCTAGTTCCCAAGTGCTGGGATTACAGTCATGTGCTGCCACTTGAAGCCAAATACCATGTCTTTGTCTGCTTCAAACTCGAAAGATTTAGTCGATGAACACATCAGAAAACACTGCATATTTATTTTACTGGATGATCAGAACATTTTCCATTTACTGGGGAAGGAAGTGAACTATTTGTTCCCATTGTTCAGTGGGAGCAAACGGCATGTCCATAAAGATAATGATATGCACTGTGCATCAGCCCATGAGTCCTTCCACATAGTAAATGTCTCAGCAGACAGGGTAGAGTCTTGAAGCTTTTGAAGAACAACCAGGTAGACAGCTGTAAACTAAAGGGATCTTTGGCCCGTTTTCATAGAAAACTTGTGTTTTCTTCATTGAAGTCATTATTGTAGATGCCTCAGTTTTTGGCAAAGAAAAGCTATAATACATTTTACTTTCTCTAACACTTAAAAATTTGCTTCTGGGTATTGACAAAACTAGTAAGACATTGGATTTTTATAAGATTTTCTCACTGTTTGTAAGCTCTGACATATCCTGACACTATTTTAAAATATAAAATAAAGCTTTATATTTTATTGGCTATTCCTAAAAAGATTCCAATAGGACAGTGGAGTGGATACTCTCATCTATAGAAGCTACAAATTGGAATGATCTTTTTGGAGAATGAAATCTCAGGATACAGCCAAAAGCTTTGTACATTTCTAACAAGTTGTGCCAATGTCGTGCACAGAATTTAAAGACATCACATTTAAAAATACTGACGAGCATCATCATATTTTATTTAATGAATAGAAATTAAGTTAATGGAATTAATCTAACCTAACTCAACCTACTTAGTCTGATCATTTCAAAAATTAATGCAACCCTTTCCTGTGATAATCAGCTTTAAATTGATCAGTAGGCAATCTTTGCTTTCTGTATTACAGGAACTTTACAGTGGTAGCAGGGACTGTAATATTCTTGCTTGGGTACCATCTTTGTATGAACCAATTCCAGATGATGATGATGAAGTAAGTGGTATTATTACCTACTATGCAATGAGTTTTGATTATAAAGATTAGTGTTTTACTTACGTGGGAGAGACTGTTAAAGCATTTCTTGCTGCTTTCTGGTTGTACAAATAATTTGTTACCACACATCTATACAAATTCAGAAAAAATAGGCAAAGAAAAACATAATTCCTCAATTATGATTAATATAGACTTTTTATTTACTGTTTTTCCCTGGTATTGTTTTTAAGACAATAGTTAATTCATAATCATATAACTTGGAGTCTTCTCTCATTGACATAATACAGTAACCCCCATTCATGTCACTAATAACTATTTGTGGGTGGGGAGTGGAGGACTGAGACAGAGTTCCTCTATGTAGCCTTGGCTGTCCTGAGACTTGCTCTATAGAACAGGCTGGCCTCAAACTCACAGAGATCCACCCACCTCTACCCCCCAAGTGCCACCACTGCTCAGCTACTATTTAGAAACATTTTTAATGATATGGTATTCTGTCATTTATATGTCATAGTTTAAATATTTAATTGTTTCTGCTAATTGTTTTAAACAGTATCAATATAAATATATTTTCAAAAGTTGTCCATATTTCTAATTAGTTTTAGGATAGATTCCTAGAAGTAGAGTTATCTCTTTTTGTTGTTTGTTTGCTCCTTGTGTGGCTTCAAGTAACCAGGACACAAGTGACCAATACAGTTAATCTTGTCTTTGGCTATTCTGAAGAATTTGGGCTTCACAGTGAGGCCTGCTTAGGGAGCTTTCCTTCCCTTGAACTCCATACCACACTGATGATGATGTATTTACCCTTGTCTCTTCACTACCAAGATCCACAGTTTACCATGGTTGGTTGCTGGGCATAAGCTCTGTTTCCTCTTTAAGTGGTATGGCTAAATACCAACTTTACCAGTAATATTGCCACATACCAACTTTACCATAGTCACTTGATGGCATTTGTCTAAGTTGATCCTGTGGTGTCACATGCATCCAGCATTACCTTGGCTTTCTGGTGCTTGTGGTGCCAATCTATTGGCTCTGGCTCTGGCTCATATAGCCACAGAGTTTCTGGATCTTCCTGAGTCAAGATGGCATGGCAGCTGTGGAAAGGAAAGAGCTGGAGTTAACTTGAGTTACTATGTATGACATTTTAAAATCTGTCTGTTCACAGTGTCAAATCTTGCCAGTTCACACTTTGCAGTGACCTCCCAGTGCCTATCTAAGGATAATATGACAGTGCCAATAAAAAAACCTTTAGGTAAATGTGTTAAACAAATGAAGGAGGCAAGAGCCCTCTCCTGAAGAAGTAGCCTCTCTTACTTTAAATTTACAAAAAGTGGTAGTATTTTAAATTGAGTGTTGGTATGATAATATCTTAGGGACCTTCTCCTGATGGGCAATGGAAAAATTTACCTGTACATCAACTAACAGGCTTTGGGTGACAGAAACAGGCTTAAGTTTGCTCTTTAAACATGAATTCTACTAGCTGGGCATTGGTGGTGCATGCCTTTGATCCCAGCACTCCGGAGGCAGAGGCAGGCGGATCTCTGTGAGTTCGAGGCCAGCCTGGTCTCCAGAGCGAGTGCCAGGATAGGCTCCAAAGCTACACAGAGAAACCCTGTCTTGAAAAAAACAAAAAACAACAACAACAACAAAAAAAAAAACCATGAATTCTACCGTATAATTAAACATTTCTAAGGTGTCATTTCTTTCAGGGACTATTTTGGAAAGCAGTGTTAAACATTCCAATTTATCCTAACTTCAAGCTTCAAGGATATAAAAATGTGTATGGAAGAATTTTTTTTTTTTTGAGGACTCCCCTTATGGTAATTTAAAGCAATTCAAACAGAGATGGAAGAAAATCACTAATAAAGCAAGTTTGAAAATCTGAAAACACTTTTCATATTTTTAGTTCCTTTATAAAAAGAGGGCCTGTCAGAAGACACCACAAGTGAAACTTTATATGGGTAGTGACTTGGTAGTGTCTAGCAGCTATTGGCCACATATATTTTATAGCTGAATTTGCTATCATTATAGTTATTATGAAGCCTAGGACTTATTTTCTTTGGGCCCTAAACCAAATAAAAGAGAAAAGGCACATTCATAAATATTTAGGCAACTGGCCAAAACCAAATGAATATCTCCAGAGTTTATCACATGTCTAATTTAGTTTGTTATGGCTTGATTAGTTTTAGCATACAGCCTCTTTAAGTGACTAGATTTTGAATAGTTTGATTTTGACATCTATTTTGCATTTTTATTTAATTATTCTGTCCTGCTTTTTGGGAATATATATATGTTATACATACTATACATATATATGTATAATACATATATATATATATATATAATTTTGGGGATATATATATATTATAACTTTGTGGGTCATGTTGGGAAGTATAACAATCATTTACCAAATGAAAATAATAAAAATAAATGAAAAAATAGAGCTACTATTATTTACACAGAGGAAAGAATATTAGAAAATTAAGTTGCTGGGATGGAGAGATGGCTCAGAGGTTAAGAACACTGGCTGCTCTTCTGGAGGTCCTGAGTGCAATTCCCAGCAACCACACGGTGGCTCACAACCATCTGTAATGAGATCTGGTGTCCTCTTCAAGCCTTCAGGCATGCATGGAGGCATAGTGTTGTATACATAATAAATAAAATCTTTTAAAAAATTAAAAAAAAGAAAATTAAGTTGCTTGTTATAATTTTTGACCAATAGTTATATGTTTCCTTGTTAGGTAGCAGTGGTGATAGTGAAGACACACCACCTAAAACAACTTTTTATATATAGATATTAAAACAAGTAGAGATGCATGTGTGGGACACAGGATTGTAATACCGTTACTTCAAAGGCTGAGGCAGGAGAACTGTGAGGAGGAGGCTGACCTGGTCTGTACAGTAAAGCCCTATATCACAAAAATGATAAGAGCTGAGCTGCACATTCAAGGGTTAGGGCTATACAACCTTATTTTTTCAGATACACTACTGCAGGCTAGAGAGATAATTGTAATTTTTAATAAAAATAATAAAATAAGCCAGGCATGCTGGTATACTCCTTTAGTACCAGCACTCAGGAGACAGAGGAAGGAGGATCTTTGAGTTAAGGCCACCCTGGCCTACAGAGCAAGTTCCAGAACAGCTAGAACTAGACAGAGAAACCCTGTTTTGAAAAACAAAAATAAGTAAAGAAAATAAAATACACTGTTCCTATTCTCAGCTTTAAAATGTGAATAGCTCATTAATGTAAAGTGCTTTATGATAAGGTTATTTAATTACATAAAATGTTATCTTAAAAGGTTCATAATAATGTAGGTAGAATGTGACCATGGTATATACTCCAGCAGAGAAGTCTGGGAACTGTTTAAATATGAGAATTGGTTGCATATGTGAATGTTTACAGTTTAACTCATGTTTTTCCCTGAGCTGCTAAACTGGTAACTTGCCATTTCCAGGGGAGGTCGTGTTAGTGGCTCAGCATAATACAAAGAACATATGTATGCACATACCTCTGCTAGGTCAAACTCCAATTTACTCTTGTCAACAAGCTCTCCTAGCTATTACCCTGGGACTACTTGTGGCATTTTCAAATGCACATATCAGATTGTTAAACCAAAGTTGTTCTTAGGTTTCCTTTTGAACCTAAGCAGAGGGGTGTTATTTTTTCTTTTTTCTTCTTCTTTTTGGTTTTTCGAGACAGGGTTTCCCCTGTGTAGCTTTGGAGGTTGTCCTGGAACTCACTCTGTAGACCAGGCTGGCCTGGAGCTCACGGAGATCCCCCTGCCTCTACCTCCCAAGTGCTAGGATTAAAGGTTTGCACCACCAACGCCCAGCCATGTTTCTCAGATTTTAAAGGAGCAATTTAATTCTACCTGTAGAAATTGAAAGACCTTAGATGACAGGTATAAATATTATGGTCTTTAAATTTGTTGTTTAATTGGCAGGCTGTTGTATTATATCTGAGGAATCTGTTTGCTTTTACCCAGACTTTCTAGTTGGCATGGTCAACTCAAGCCAATCTAACTCCTAGCTACCATTAGCTGCCAGAGATGTATAGGGAAGGTACACTACAGTTTTAATCTTACTTCTTATCAGGAATCCTAGTTCTAGCTGAGTGTTGTGACTCATTCTCTTAGCACTAAGGGGACTAAGACAGCTTGAGCTACAAAGCAAGATTCAGTCTCAAAACAAAACAGAATGTTTGACATTGGCACAGGAAATGGTGTTTCTACCCTGCACTTGTGCAGATGTATCACTTGCTGACCTGGAAAACTCTGAGACTTTCCAGTAACACTTGAAACTTTTCCAGACGTATCCTTATGATGCTTTGTTTTAATCCTCCTCAGTATTGGGTTCTGGGCTGGATCTCTTCTAGACTCAAGCTTCATCATCCCATGCACAGTATCTGCCAGTAGAACTAGAAACCTGGTAGAGGGAGGGGTGTGCATGCATAGACTGGATGTCCACTAGGAGGAGATGTTGTAGAGACAACCAAAGTAGAGTAGTAATGGGTACTAAATCTACCTGCAGCATTGTCACTGCAGCTCTTGACCACACATGTTTTAACACTAAAGTATACTAGTAATAGTATAATGCATTCCAAATGTCTGTTGACTACTGCAAGTATTAAATATATGTGCAAATATGTCAAAACCTTGATTTTGTTTTTATCTTTACAAAAGCAAAATAATTCCTAAAAAAAAAATGTAACATGATTAATAAAAACCTAAAGAAATGTATTGGGGTTCAAGCTGAAAGATCAGAGAAGCAAAGCAGCCAGGCCACTAGCTCTTACCTCTACCTCAGATCGAAAGGGCTGATCCTGTCTCCACAAACCCTCCAAATATATTGCTCTCCACTGTAGATGGTGTTTCTGTCCAGCCTGGTCCCTCCGCCTTTCAGCCCCAAATAAACACACAAATACTTATATTAATTAGAAACTGTTTGGCTGATGGATCAGGCTTCTTATTGGCTAGCTTTCTCTTAATTATTAACCTTTTCTATAAACTATGTATTGCCACGAGGCTGTGGCTTACCTGTAATGCTCCAGCATGTTCTTAGGCCGCTACATGGCATTTCTCTCTGGTGGCCTCTTTCTGCCTCCTCTCTCCAGAATTCTCCTCATCTGGTAGCCCTGCCTATACTTCCTGCTTGGCTACTGGCCAACATCAACCAATAAGAAAAACATATATACAGAAGGACAACTCCCATCACTCCACCAAACCTCATACTACAATCCTATGCCTTCCCTGTCTGGAAACTAAATCTCACATGAGACTCTTTGCCTCTTCTTTTCATACCTCTCAAATCCTGGGATTAAAGGCATGAACTCTGATTCACTCTCATGTAGCCCAGGATGATTTTGGACTCACAGAGATTCTCCTGCCTCTGCCTCTGCCTCCCAAGTGCTGAGATCATCATTGTGTGGCTGTTTCTCTTTTAGACTGGATCAATTTTGTGTAGTTCAGTGTGGCCTTGAACTTACAGAGATCTGTCTACCTCTGTCTCCTGAGTCCTGGGATTAGAGGTGTGTACCCCTACCACCTGGCTTCTATAGCTAACTAGTGTGGCTGGTGGAATTAAAGGTGTGTATCACCATTGCCTGGTTCTATGGCTATGGCTAGCTTTGCATTTTGATCTCCAGTGGCATTATTAAATCAGAAATAATATATCACCATAGAAATATAAATTTGTTCTACTATTGAATCTCAAATAAAATTACAATGATTAGTAGATTACACATTGGGCTTCCATAGTGGAATTAGAAGACGTGAGCTTTGTGTAGCTTCTATTCCCTGAGGATACTTCTGGTAGCTATCTAAGGCAGAGTTAAAAGTCTAAAGACAGGAGAGAAGTGTCACCTTTGAGATTAAACCCTTTTGAGCAGCCTAGTTTAGTAGCTAAATCCTCAAGCTCCCGATGGAAAGATTACAGACATACTCCAACACACTCAGCTTCATACAGCATCCTTGGTAGACATCAGATTTCAACAGTAAGGAATTTATCTCAGGCATTAATCTCAAGCATCATGAGATTCAGCAAACATTTGGGTCAAAGAATGAAGAAACAGACTTCAAACTTTCATTACTGTTGCTGGAAATGAGTGGTTAGCTGGAGTTTGGTCATAGTTTTGATTTGGACATTTGGAGGCAAATGTAAGGAAATTTTTCTTGTAAGCGTAATGGTGATAGCCACTAAGTTTATCGATGTTCTCTGGCCTGTTTAACAACTGTGCAGCATGCCTACATCACTATATGGTTTTCTAGATAGTCTAGCTGGTGAGGGGGAAACCTCTGGGAATACTGGCTTTTCCATTTGAATTAAAAGATTCTGTCATGTTGATCGTAAAGGAAATGACATTCTTAGACATAACTTAGGGGTTGCCTTCCCAGAAAATGTTCCCCTACAAAAGGTATATATCTAAGATAATTAACAGTTAGCTATTGAAATCTGGGTCTTATTAAGTAGCCAGATGCAAAAGCTGCAGCATAAGAAACAAACCTGATTCCTAATTCATGAAAAAACTGAGAGCATCTTTTAAGCCTTTGAAGTGGTTTCCTAGAGATGAGAAAGAAGTCATTTGGTTTCCCATACAAGTAAACTGACTTGATAATTCATTTAATTAGTCTCTCTAGTTGCTAAACTTTTTTCACATATGGCTCTAAGGTAGAAGAATATTGTGATACTTTCTTGCAATTTTGAGTAAACAATCCAAATAGCTTTCAGAAAAAAATCTCCCAGGGAAACCTCCATGCCAATAATTGCCCATGCTTCCATTTCTCCTGTAGTTGATCTATGCTTTAGCATTGTTGGCTGTAAAAAATAAGAGACATATCTGTGTAATAACCCGTGGAAAATTCTTATTACAAATTATGCTATTCAGCTGTGCTTACTGTCACATGCTTATCATCCTAGCCCTCAGGAGGATAAAGCAGGGGGTTTCCCACAAACTCAAAGCCAGCTGAGCTACAGAATTGTGTCTGGCTGGAGAGATGCTCAGTGGTTAAGAGCACTGGCTGCTCTTCCAAAGGATGTGGGTTAGATTCAAGGCACCCACATAAGGGTTCACAACCATCTATAGCCCCTGAGCTCTGATGAGATTTGAGCCAGCCTAGACTACAGCTCTCCAGAATTACCTCAAGGGAGGGGATGTTACGACCAGTCTGCTGCGGGCATGCAGTGTTATGCCTTCTCCACAGAGTTGAAGGAACACTGTAAAAAGTGGTGTAGAGGAGATCTATGCATGCGTTTGTGAGCTGATTACTTTGAGGAAAGCAAGTTATTTTGGAAGAGTCAATTTTGTTAGTTTTAAATGAGTTTACATTATTTTTACATTACTTTTGTTTTTAAACTAGCAGTAATACAGTTTCCAAATAATCTATTAAAATAGCATATTTTGAGTCTATTATGAACCTAAAAAATTACGAAATACAAAAATAGATTCTTCTCTCTTTTTTTTAGGCTACAACTAAATCCCAGTTGAATCCAGCATTTGAGGATGCCTGGAGCAGTAGTGATGAGGAAGGGTGACTGCCAGCCCGCCTTTGCTCCTTGTCTATTGGACTAATACATCAGCAGTGATGTTGTTTTTGAGACAAAGTCTCACTGTGTAGCTCTGCCTAGCCTGGAGCCAGCCTGGAGCTCTCCGTCTAGACCATTCTAGGCTCAAACTTGCAGCTGTTCTCCTGCCTCTGCTTCCCAAAGTATTGGGATTACAGGTGTGCCTCTCGTGTGTGGCTGTGTATATGTGTTTGTTTGATTTTGTGTTTTAACTCAAGTAAGTTTCTGGTCCATTAATCCTGAATTTGAATGTTTTCCCCTGTTTTAAAAATGATGTTAATGTGTATAAAACCCTAAGATAAACTTCTCTGTGGTTAAATTAATCAAAACCTCCTTGAGCCTATTTACCATGGTGGCAGGTTAGCTGCTATGGACACAGTACAAGAACAGAAGTCATTGTTCTCAGCCTGGCCTATGTAGGTCTGATAAGTGGAATGTGTCTCAGCTCTGGCTCCCCTGGGTATGCTACCAGCCTGCCCCTTTCCATCTTTGTGGGGAGCAGGTGGAAGGGGTGGGGTTAACAAGGATAATTAGGAGGAAAACAAAACAATTATTGCAAAGGTAGCATCCCAACTCTGTACTCTTTTTATACATATTGAAGGCTTCGTGTAATTGACTATTTTCTAGCTTTATGTTGAACAGTTTACAGCTAAAATCTCCTACAGTCTGAACAGTGTATCACATGGGCAATCCCCTGACCACTTGTTACTTTCAAAGGGCAGCTTGCAGTCCTCCTTTTCTTCCTGTGAAACTCAGCAAGATCCATTCTGGGGTCTAGATTAAACATGAAATGTTGTAATAAAATTTCTGTTGTTCTCTCCTTTTCTTGTGTCAACTCACGAGTTATTATGAATTCCCCCCACACTGTGCTCTCCCTCTCCTAGTGTGTGTGTGTGTGTGTGTGTGTGTGTGTGTGTGTGTGTGTTCACTAGGGATTGAACCTAGGGCATCATACATCAAGCAAGAGAACTTCCAGTAGGCTAAGGTCCAGCCCCTATGACACTAATCTTGTATTCCCTTTCTTCTCGAATCTTAGCAGCATTAGAGAAATAAAAGGTTTCTGTGAACTGGAATACTAAATATATAATTGTTGGCCTTTAAGTGTTAGTGCTAGGCCTAATAGCAGACTTTTCTCACCAAATGTTTTTTGTGTCCTGGCTAGCCAGAACCATCTAAAGGAAAGAACCTCAACTAAAAAAAAAAACAAAAAACACTTCCTTAAGATAGGGTTGTAGGCAGGCCTGTAGAGCATTTTCTTAATTTGTGGTTGATGTGGGATGGCCTACCCCAGTGTGGGTGGTGCCATATCTGGGCTGGTGGGTCCTGGGTTAATTAAGAAAGCAGGCTGAGCACGCCATGGGTGGGCAAGCCAGTAAGCAACATCCCTCCACGGCCTCTGTATCTGGTCGTTCCTCCAGGTTCCTGCCCACTTTGGGTTCCTGCCTTGATTTCCCTCAATGTACTATGACACAAAATAGGTAAGCCAAATAAACCCTTTCCTCCCCCAGTTGCTTTGGTCGTAGTGTTCATAGTAACCCTGACTAAGACACTGTGCCTTTGTGTTGATTTTCTGAAAGCCAGACCATTCTTCTCATTTTCCCTTAGGAAGTATGTTTTGACCTTTAAGAGAGCAATTAAAATTAAACTTTGTTTTTAATTTTAAGTAGTTTTCTAAACATTATGGATTACTCTAAAAAGAAAGTAATAGTCTCCTAGAATCATTCCAGGGTAACCAGGCCTTAGCCAATCTCTATGCTTGTCTAGGACATGTATAATTTTAAATGCTATCGGGTTTGCATGATGCTGTAGTAGAAACCCCTGTCTTCTCAAACTAGCACCCTCCCCTGTTCTTCATACTTTTTCCACACGTATATTGTCCTAGTATGTATTCCTTTCTATTACAATTCTTTACAGACCTATGTCAACGTAAAGGATTTGCTTGTTTTTGCAAAATGAGATGACATAATTCTGTCTAAATTTTTCAGATTCAGCTTGCATAAACCCCTCTCTGTGTTATTATAATGGAGTTGTTATTTTTCCTAATCATATAATGCCCCATCTTGTGTTTATACAGATTTTTTCCAGCCATCTCTCTGACTAGAACACATTGTGATCTACATTCTCTTTTCCTTAGGGAGTAGATTTATCTTTAACTCTTCCACATTTTTTTTCTTTCTTGGTATATGAGATTATGGGTGTGTGTGTGTGTGTGTGTGTGTGTGTGTGTGTGTGTGTGTGTGTGTTCTAGTGTCAGTTCTGTTGCTGTGATAAAATTCCCTGAACAAAGACAGTTTAGGAGAGAACACGTTTATTTTCAGTTAACAACTCAGTTATAGTCTACCACTATGGGAAAGTCAGGACAGGAACTTCAAACAGCTAGCCACATCACCTCACAGTCAAGAGAAATGAATGCATGCAACCTTCACTGCACATCTGATGATGAAATGGCCTTCATTGAAATGTCTTCTCTAACTGAAATGGACATGCAGTCTTTGTAAGGTGACTGACTAGGAAAGTAGAAACGAGGAGGAGTATAAGTTCCAGGCAAACTTGGGAAACTAAATACATTACTTTTTTTTCATCTTGGATCAAATGCCTGACAAACAAATGAAGTGTTGACTTTAGTGGACCGTTTGAGTGTTCAGGATGTCATGGTGGGAAGGAGCAGATTGTAGCTGCAGCAGCAGAACCAGGAGGCAGACAAGATGGCAGAGACAGGACCAGAAGCAGGACCAGGTATAAATGTCAAGATTCCTCCCTGAAGGTGAGATTTACTTTATCTAGACTCCACCTTCTCTGAAAAAATAGCACCACCAGCTAGGGAGTAAATATTTGAACATAGGATCCCCTAGGGTGCATTCCACATTGACTCTTTCACACTCCATTACTGGTCTCTAAGTTCATGGTCATCTCATAATGCAAAGTGCTTTTATTTCAAGTTCAGAAGTCCCCATGCTCCTCCACATCAACACTTCCTTCCTATAGTAAACAAGTAAGTACTCCTACTTTAAAGCAATGAGGGCACTCTTCCCTTTGGACCCTCAACATCTCTGTGGGTGGTTTGCTTTTCTGAGCCCCTAAAATGGCTTAGTAAGTCCACATATTTAGGACTTTTTAAAAACCGCAACTCTAAACGTGTATATCTCCTGCAAATTATTCCGAAGTTTGCAAAACACGTGATTAAGTTTATCTCAGCAACAACCTTATCACGAACCCTACCCTCAGTGCCAGGTTTGGTTTTTTGTTTTTTAAGAATTGATTTTATTATTTTTAATTATGTGGTATGTGCAGGTGCATTCGGATGCCTGTGGAGCCTAGCAGTGTCTGATGGCCCTGGAACTGGGCTAACAGGTAGTTGTGGGCCACCTAATATGGGTTCTGAGAACCAAAGTTGGGTTCTCTAGAAAAACAGTTCATACTCTTAACCATGGAGACATCTCTCCGGCCCTACCTTTTCTAGTGTTACTTTTCTCATCACAGTGACCAAATACCTGACAAGAAAAGGGATGGGGGATGGTTAGGGAGAGAGATTGATTTAGCTCATTAAAGCAGTGTGCTTAGACCAGTCAAAACTTCCTCCGGGTTTGTGTTTGTTTGTTTGTTTGTTTGTTTGAGACACAGTCTATCTAAGTATGCAGGCTGACCTTGAGCTTGCTGTGTGTGGTAGCTCAGTGTCTTAGGGTTTCTATTGCCATGAAGAGACACCATGACCACAGCAACTCTATAAAATAAGCATTTAACTGGGGCTTACTTACAGTTTTAGAGGTTTAGTCCATTTTCATCATGGCAGGGAATGTGATGGCATGCAAGCAGCCTTGGTTCTGGAGAAGGAGCTGAGAGTTCTACATCTGGATCTGCAGGCAGCAGGAAGAAAGCCTCTAAGCTTGGAATAGGCTTTTTGAAACCCCAGAGGCCACCCCCCACCCTAGTGACACACTTTCTCTACCAAGGCCACACCTCCCAATCCTTTCAAATAGTGCCACTCTCTGGTAACCAAATATTCAAATTTATGAGGCTATGGTAGCCATTCTCATTCAATCTACCGCACTCAGGCTTCCTGCTTGGATCCTGTTGCCTTAGCTTCCCAAGAGCTGGGGTTACAAACATGTGCCACCATGCTCAGTTCCTTTTTTGCAAAGAACATGTGGAGTTCTTCCTTTGCTACCTTGAGTTAAATCTCCTTGGTTTCTAGAATCATTACAAGTCATGTTAACAAACATTTTTTTGAGATACAGTCTCATGTAACCCAGGCTGCCCTCCAAGTTGTTATATGGTTCCAGATGACCTTGAACTCCTGATGGTGCCAGGTACTGAAATTGCAGGCATGTGCACCACATTCAGTGTGTGTTGTGCTGAGGTCAAACCCAGGGCTTCTTGCAAGCCATGCACTCTCCCAACTGACTTATAATCCAATCAATAATTGTGTTAGCACTAGTCTCAGATACAGGGTGCATGGTTCCCACCCCACTCCAAGCAGCTATTTGTTTCTGACAACTCAAAACAGGGAAAAATAAGGCAAACTGTTGTGAACTCTACCAGTGTGTTAGAATCAGCAAGTAAATGCCCTGTACTCTCCTGATGCTGATGAAAGCTCCAGTAGCTTTTGCCCCAGTTTATAGAGACAGCTCTCCTGCTTCATGTTCCTGAAGCATCCTCATGAAGAGGGTGCCACAACCTTAATCAGATCTGTTATACAGTCATTATGTCAGTTACATCCATGTGTGAGACCAGGTTCCTCAAGCTTATGTTTGGATGCCTTGTGTTTGTCAGTGTTTATTATGTAAACTTTGCACAACTGGCAAGTGGCCTTAGGCCTGGCTAGTAGTTTTGTTTCCCTGTGCCACTGGTATTCAGTGCTGGCTCAAGGGATTTACACAAGCCACTTCTCTTTGGTTTGTATAATCCTTTGTGGCACAGGTTAGCAACAGCCCTAACCTAGAGCAAACACCAGCAGGAGCAGAGAGCTAGGCCTGTAGGTTAGGCTCTAGTTCCCCAGGTTCCCTCCCTGTCATGTGATGCTCCATCAACACTGCTATGTGCATCTATAGTTCCTAAATAAATACTGTTCAAAGCTGTGGTTAAGAATTTCTAAAAAAAAAATTCTGGGAAATGGGTTAACCATTTTTATCAATATTATAGTGTTATAATGTTTTTCTATAGTATATATGCAATTTTTATTAGGGTTTTGGTAAGTACTATTGAAAAGTTATTAAAAGTAACTGATGGGGCTCAGTAGTTAAGAGCATTTGCTACTCTTTGAGAGGGCCTGAGTTCAGTTCCCAGCACCCTCATCACATCAGGTGGCTCACAACCCCATAACACCAGCTCCTGGGATCCAGAGCTCTTTTCTTGGACACTCATACACACATGGTGTAATACACACACACACACACACACACACACACACACACACAACGCGCGCGCGCGCGCAAATAAAAATACTTAAAAATAGTAGTGATCGGGCTAGAGAGATGGTTCAGAGGTTTAAGAGCACCAGCTGTTCTTCCAGAGATCCTGAGTTCAATTCCCAGCAACCACATAGTGGCTCACTACCATCCATAATGAGATCTGGTGCCCTCTTCTGGTGTGCAGATATACATGGAAGCAGAATGTTGTATACATAATAAATAAATTAAATCTTTAAAAAAATAGTAGTGATCATTATAGAAATTGGAAAATATTAAGATTATTTTAAAGTTATAATAGATTCATCAAGAAAGAACAGGTGACTAGACTAGATGTGGTGGTGCACACTTGTAACCCCAGTCCTAGCTGGGGTAGAAAGATTGAGATTCGAAGCCAACCTGAGTATTCAGTGAGGCTG